GCAAATAAACGAACGTAAATTCATAATGTGATTTTACAGAATATTACTCGAAGAATGGACATCAAACTAGAAATTTCCCACTTTCCCTTCTTAGAGTATGTGTGACATATCAAGAATACACATTCCCTTAAGATGTCCATCAAAAGCCTTAGCTGGTAAGGTCTTAGTGAACGAATCCGCAAGATTATCTGCTGATGCAATCTTACTAACCGTCACGTCTCCTCGATGAACAATTTCTCTAACAAGGTGATATTTTCTCTCGATGTGCTTGCCACGCTGATGACTCCTCAGTTCTTTAGCATTGGCAACCGCCCCACTATTATCGCAATAAAGCGTTATGGGCCCCATTGCCAAAGGTACCACGTCAAGGTCCAAAAGAGACTTCTTGAACCATACAACTTCTTTAGCAGCTTCATGGTGGAATCAGCAATACAAGATTGCTTGATACTCCTCCATACCACAGCTCCACTTCTCAGTGTAAATAGTGATCCCAATGTAGACTTCCTAGAGTCACGATCGGATTGAAAATCCGAATCAGTATATCCAATAGGATTTAGATCATATCTTAAGTAGACAAGCATATAATCTCTCGTTCTCCGAAGATACTTGAGTATATGCTTTACCGCTACACAATGCTCTGGTCCTGGATTAGACTGATAACGACTAACAATACCCACAGCATAACAAATATCCGATCTAGTGCAAAGCATAGTATACATGAGATTTCCCACAGCCGAAGCATAAGGAACCTTTCTCATGTAATCTATCTCTGTTGCATTCTTGGGACAGTGCTCTTTAGATAGATGAATTCCATGTCTAAAAGGAAGTTGTCCCTTTTTGGAATTCTGCATTGCAAATCTGGACAATATTTTGTCAATATATGAAACTTGGGATAATGCAATCCTTCTGTTTTTCCTATCTCGCAAGATACGGATTCCCAAAACATAACTAGCTTCTCCGAAGTCTTTCATATAAAACTGCTGTGACAACCATTTCTCTACAGATGACAATGTCCCTACATCATTTCCAATGAGTAGAATGTCATTTACATAAAGAATCAGAAAATCTACTTTCTTTCCTTGTATTCGTTTGTACACATAAGGTTTATCCAGATTTTGCTCAAAATCATAGATCTTAATAGTTTGATCAAATCTTACATTCCAAACTGTGGACGCTTGCTTGAGTCCATAAATGGATCTCTACAACTTGAAAACTTTCCTTTCATGGCCTTCTTTCACAAACCCTTCAGGTTGCATCATGTAAATGGTCTCCTCAAGACGTCCATTTAAAAATATTGTCTTGACATCCATTTGCCAAGCCCCATAATCATAATGAGCGACAATGGATAAAAGGACTCGAATAGATTTAAGCATGGCAACCGGTGAGAAGGTTTCTTCATAGTCGATGCTTTCTCTTTGGGTAAAACCCTTGGTCACTAGCCTTACTTTGAAAGTTTCAACGTTCCCATCTATACCTCTTTTCCTTTTATAGACCCACTTGCATCCTATAGGCTTTACCCCATTAGGTGTATTTACAAGATCCCAAACCTTGTTGGAATACATAGATTCCATTTCTAAGTTCATGGCTAATTTTTATGATTCAAAGTCTACATCCTCCATTGTTTCCTTAAACGAAGTGGGATCTTCTTCTTGTTCAGTAGAGATCGCCTAATAGGATTCTCCATAGAGCAAGTACCTAGAAGGTGGTCTCACAACCCTCCCACTACGAGTAATGGTTGAAGGTGCCTGATTGTCCAGTCTGACCAAAGGTCCTTCCTCTCTTCCCACTGTTTGATCCTATCCTTGGTTAGGAACAACATTCTCATTATCCCCATTTGAAAGGACATGTGGAGAGACAACAATGGGTGCCTCATTTTTTACTACCTCTGGTTCTATTTGCCTATGAGGCCCTGTGGGCATCACTTGCTCACTTGCTTCATCAGCAACCATTGGTTCAGTAGGAGGTTCCAAGTCATCACTATTAGATTCTATGCGGAAATCTGGAACTGAGTTGTTTGAACCATGTTCTAACGTCTCTTCCAATAGAATCTTAGTAGTAGACTTGTGTTCTTCTATATACTTATCCTCTAAGAAGGTTGCATTTGTGCTAACAAATACCTTCTTATCAAGAGGATTATAGAAGCAGTAACCTCTTGTTCTCTTTGGATATCCTACAAAGAAACAAACATCTGATCTTGATTCCATCTTATCCGTCTTTCCCTTTAGCACATGTGCTAGACATCTCCATATCCGAATGTGGTGTAAATTGGGCTTGCACCCATTCTACAATTCAAGAGGTGTCTTGCAAACTGACTTAGATGGTACCAAATTCAAGATATAAATGGTTGTTTGTAGTGCATATCCCAAAAAGGATATAGGCAATGAGGAATAACTCATCATTGATCTTACCATATCTAAAAGAGTTCGATTTCTTCTTTCCGAGACACCATTCTGTTGGGGAGTTCATGGTGCACTCAATTGGGATAATATCCTATTATCCGATTAAAATCTTGGGATAGATACTTGCCACCTCGATCAGATCGAAGGGCCTTGATACTCTTATCTAATTATTTCTCAACTTTCGTCTGAAACTCCGTGAAATTCTTCAAAGTTTCGGATTTGTGAGACATAAGGTATATGTATCCAAATCTAGAGTAATCATCCGTGAAGGTGATGAAGTACTCGTTTTCTCCTCTAGCCCGAGTACTAATAGGTCCACAAACATCAAAATGTACTAATTCCAAAACCTCTTTAGCCCTTAGTCCCTTAGCCTTAAAGGGCCTCTTGGTCATCTTTCCTCCTATACAAGATTCACAAGTTAGTATAGATTCCACCTCTAACTCATTTAAAGGACCATCCTTTACCAATCTTTGAATCCTATTTAGATTGATATGACCTAATCTAAGATGCCATAAGAGAGTTTCATTAGTACTAGACGACCTCTTTCTTTTCTTAGCAGTAGTAGTGTTATGTATAGAGCCAATCAAAAGACTTAAGACAAAAAGACTATTAACCATATGACCCGAACATATAACAGAATTATTCAATTTAATGACCACCGTAGAACGGGTAAAAAGTACCGAATAACCAATATGATATAAAAGTGCAACGGAAACCAAGTTCCGTGTAATTTCGGGAACATAATAACAGTCATCCAATATCAAATGCCTATGATTCTCAAAACATAAAGTAAAAGTGTCAACAGCTTTGACAGATACCACTGCTCCTATGCCAATCCTAAGAGTGTACTCCCCTTCACTGAAATACCTGGTTTTTTGGAATCCCTGAAAAGAATTGCAAACATGATTAGTGGCTCCAGAATCTACAATCCAGGTATTAGTAGAATTAACCACTAAGCATGACTCAATTAATAGGACATTATTGCCTTTACCTTGCTTCCACTTAGCTAGGTAATCTGGGCAGTTCCTCTTCTAGTGGCCCTTTTGTCCACAAATAAACACTTTTCCTTTGATTTTTCATCGGCAGTAGTTTTCTTCCCCTTTGACTTGCTATCTGGCTTTTTGTTTGGCTTCTTCCTCTTCTTTCCTTCTTTGCCACCAGAAGGCTTAGGATAAGAGGGTCCGACTGTAACAGTCAAAACACTTCCACTCCTAGCTTTTAGAATAGATTCAATATTTTGTAGCTCTTTTATTAATTCCGTCAGAGACATGTCCATCTTGCGTAGATTATAATCAACTATAAATTGTAAGAACATCTCATGAAGAGTCTCAAGGACCATGTCAATCTGTGTCTCGGAATCAATGTCAGCTCCTAAAACCTCTGCAGCATTGAAGTGACCAATCATGGTTAACATATGGTCCCTTACAGATGCACCCAGTTTCAAGCGTGTGTTCATAATTGCCCTAATGGAGGCTTGCCTAGCTTGTCGGCTTTGATGTCCAAACATCTCTTGAAGGCTTTCCATTATGTCAAAAGCAGTTTGCATATTCTGATGTTTCTGTTGTAATACATTTGACATGGATGCCAAAATGTAACAACGAGCCATCTCATTAGAATGATGCCACTTTTTATATGCAACCTTTTGAGATTCTGTGGAGTCATCTTTAGGGGTCTCGGGACAAATTTCATCCAGCACAAATTTTTATTTTTCAGAGGTAAGAACAATATTAAGATTTCTTTTCCAGTCAACGTAGTTTTCTCCCACGAGTTGATTTTTATTAAGTATTACTGATAATGGATTAAGTGACATTTTCTGTAAAATTAACGATTTGCGTATTAATAAAATGAGCAATAATCTTTGTATGATGCATGTATATGAATATGCAAATATAGACCCAAAACTATATTTGTAATCAAAAAATATTAAACCTTTACAACTTTTGACGTGCCCTCCATAGGAGGTCAATGTAATTGTTGGCAAGGTTGAGATCCTCCCACTCATTTTATTGAGTTAGGCATTTCATGTCACAAGAAAATGAGGATTGATTATTATTTGGTCTATGAATAATTTTGTTGAAATCTTCTATAGGAAGTCTCCCAAAATATTCATATATAAGTGTAATAATGTCCGTCAATAATTTTAAAATATCCGAAATATATAAGATGCCGTTTATAGGATGATCATCCCATTATTTCATTTTTAAAGAAATTCTATTACTAGATCCAATTTCAATTAATCTAAAATAACGTAGTTTTCCTATAGGGAGATCGATATAATTTGATACTAAACATACGTATTTTAATAACAAATTGGATGACGGAAGAGGCCTTAGGTTTATACATGCCTATAAACCATCACCCACTTATTATTTTGCACTGTTGGATTTTCACTCAATTAGTCCGCCAAATATAAACAATTATAATGACGCTAATTATAAAATATTCTTCAACAAATTAATTTAGAGTGATAAAAAAATATTTAAATGTAAATGCATATGATTTTAGTGCACCAGGTGGTGTTTCATTTAATTTACATGACATGCGATAATAATTAAATATTCATCCATCCATAAAGCGATAAAAACGATAATTAAATGAATAATAATCACTAATGACCCATCCTAAAAATTTAAATTACAACATGGATAAAAAGAATTACATTGGGCCACAGCCTGCTGCTGCCTCGCAAGGCAGCAACAAGCTGCTGCGGTCAGCAGCTTCTGCTGTTGCCCGCAAGGGCAGCAGCTGCTATGGCTGCTGGACCGATTTTTGGTGTTTTTGGTTTTATTTCTTGCTTTTTGTCCTTCCTTCTTCTCCATTGAAATTATAGCAACAAGTTTACAGTTCTTCCTCAAAATACAAAAACGAAAATGAAGAAAAAATACAAAAACTTAATACCTTATGGCTTACAATATTTCTAGAGAATAACTATAATAAATGAATTACAATAGGAAGTAAAAAAAATTCTAGGACCAAAAGTGATTATGAGTGTATCAACAATAAGTTTAAACATATTTAAAGCATAAACATGTCAAAATCAAATAACCTAACACCACCCAACTAAAATGCATATTACACTAGGATTTAAAAAAAAAAAAAAATCCTACTCAAGGCATACAATAACCTTGACTCTGATACCATTTTTTGGTTAATGAATTTTAATCATCACAATATGAAATTAATTTTCCTTTGAAGATTAAAATCATGTAAATAAGGATTTAATTGACCTTGAGATCATTGGATTATAAAATCCTCATATATATAGAAAGGGGAGATGATAACCTTTTTGAAGGAGCTATTAATGGCCTAGCCAATTACTTCCTTCCTTAGATATTCTCCCTTGTTCTCCACTAGGTATTATTTCTTTTTGGGGAATGTGAAAAGTGGCTAACCCTAATTCTCATTTAAAATATGTCAATAAAGTGCATAGTTATAATGACCAATTAGGGTTTGAAAATTGCACAAATTTCATTAGACTTTATTGTAGTAGGCCAATTAAATCACATACCTTTTATTGGAGCTAAGAAAGGGACCTAATTAGACTCACATGATCCAAACTCCAATAGATGTTTTCAATTGGGTCAACTCTTGACCAATTGAGATACATCTATTAATCCCGACTTATTCTACCAAAAAATCGAGATTGCACTCTCAAGTCGAGTAATAGTTATAGACGCAAGTTATGATCCAATAACAATATCCTCTGATTATCGTTCCACAAGTCAACCCCCATTTGACCGTCAATATGTTGAAACTAGCAAAATGATCATTTTGCCCTTCAATATGTATTACCCTCTAAGTCTCACTTTCATACGGCAAATTCGTTGTGATCAAATCACAATGTAAAGTCCAATGATCTCATCGTCGACCTACTGAGCTCAAATTCAATTTGCCTAGGAAAATACCTTGGAGTGACGATCGTCTCATCTCGATGATTAACGGATTCCAATATTGTAAGTATATGATCTGTAATTGTTTCAGCCCGATTCCCAAAGCACCGAGATCAATCTTCCATTTAAGACTTTACTCATTGGTACCTTAAATAATTTGAACTAGCAATCAAAGGTACATTACTCACTCAGGATTTAAGTGACCTGTTTGATAATCAAGTAGAGTCTCATTTCAAACGGTCACAAATGAGTCATCTACGCTGTCCGGTTCAATGTGCATCAAAACACATTATTGTTCCTATTTCAAGATCTAGACAAATCTTAATAAGAACAATACAATCTTATCAATATAAAGCGTCCAATTTTATGAACCGATTGTGAACGACATAATTTTGATCATATCACAAATTGTGTCTTACTATACCTGATCCATCTAGTATACAATTTGTGACATCCTATATGATCATGAAACCTTAGACAATCACTTCAAATTATAACACGCAAATAAACGAACGTAAATTCATAATGTGATTTTACAGAACATTACTCGAAGAATGAGCATCAAACTAACAATCGGATCGTTCAGGCTTAGTATTCAAGAATTGGAACCATCCATAACAGTTCGAGTATTTTGTAGATAGATTCATCCAACTCTATGTAATTTCAAGATGCGAGCCATTTCAATTCTGGATGCGATTAAGCTATAACATAACAATTAAAAAAATAATAGTAAGAAACAAGGTATTGTTCAACTTATTTCTTTGAAAAATCTTAAATGGTTCTATTGAACATTGGATGCAGCGGCGAATCCAATACCTAGTGAGCGTATGTAATTTCGAGAATTTCAAGTTCACTCTCTCAGCTCAATTGGTAAGAGACTATTTAATAAACCAGAGGTCAAGCGTTCGACTCTTTACAAGAACAATCCTTAATTTAATTATTTTAGTTTAATATATTTTATCATTTTGAAATATTTGTTATTAAAACCAATGCAATGGGGAAAAGATTTTAACTATGGTCTCCTTCAGAATTGACGAAAGTTTGACCACTACAGGGTTTGATGGGTATTAACAATAAGTGTAAAATATATGTTCAAATTTTGAAAGAATCGAACAAAGAGTGAAACTGGAGCAATGAGAAAAATTCGAACCGCGCTCATTGTATAATTTTGGAATGCATTGCTACTTTGGCATTTGATTTCTATAAAATTTTTGAATGCCTTACTACTTTGGCATTTGATGAATGTCAAAATCAAATATAACAGTAATATAATAATAGATATATTTGATTTTTATTGCGGTCATCGTTGGTGGACGGTCAACAATCACCCATGCTTACTTGAACTCTTGGATTTGCTCCTGCTTGCACAGTTCTCCTTTAAAAGTTAGGATACCCAATTTTTCAAAAAATTCTTTAATAATTCTAATTGTTTGTCTTCTTCCTCCTTCTCTATCCATTTTTTTTTTTTTATAAACTATTAAGTATGACATAGTTATTAACAGCAAAAAGTATAGAGGTTGGCATCAGATTCTGGGTATTTCAAGAACTGGCAAGTCATTATATTCCAATTATTTGGCAAATGGAAATATTCGAGTTTATGTAATTTCGAAACCAAATTACAACTGAAGATTCCAATTAAAATGCCCCACTCTACCTCCGATATCCGTAGTGTTTAGTCACATGAAATCCATTATAGAAGGCAAAGTTGTCATTTAAGCTAGTGGCTTAGTTCTAATATTCAAATGTTGAGAGGGTGAACTGCAAAGTTACGGAAACTTAATTTGGAAAGTTTCTGAAACTTTTTCAAGCCGTTATAATGACCAATTAGGGTTTGAAAATTGCACAAATTTCATTAGACTTTATTGTAGTAGGCCAATTAAATCACATACCTTTTATTGGAGCTAAGAAAGGGACCTAATTAGACTCACATGATCCAAACTCCAATAGATGTTTTCAATTGGGTCAACTCTTGACCAATTGAGATACATCTATTAATCCCGACTTATTCTACCAAAAAATCGAGATTGCACTCTCAAGTCGAGTAATAGTTATAGAAGCAAGTTATGATCCAATAACAATATCCTCTGATTATCGTTCCACAAGTCAACCCCCATTTGACCGTCAATATGTTGAAACTAGCAAAATGATCATTTTGCCCTTCAATATGTATTACCCTCTAAGTCTCACTTTCATACGGCAAATTCGTTGTGATCAAATCACAATGTAAAGTCCAATGATCTCATCGTCGACCTACTGAGCTCAAATTCAATTTGCCTAGGAAAATACCTTGGAGTGACGATCGTCTCATCTCGATGATTAACGGATTCCAATATTGTAAGTATATGATCTGTAATTGTTTCAGCCCGATTCCCAAAGCACCGAGATCAATCTTCCATTTAAGACTTTACTCATTGGTACCTTAAATAATTTGAACTAGCAATCAAAGGTACATTACTCACTCAGGATTTAAGTGACCTGTTTGATAATCAAGTAGAGTCTCATTTCAAACGGTCACAAATGAGTCATCTACGCTGTCCGGTTCAATGTGCATCAAAACACATTATTGTTCCTATTTCAAGATCTAGACAAATCTTAATAAGAACAATACAATCTCTTCCATTTAAGACTTTACTCATTGGTACCTTAAATAATTTGAACTAGCAATCAAAGGTACATTACTCACTCAGGATTTAAGTGACCTGTTTGATAATCAAGTAGAGTCTCATTTCAAACGGTCACAAATGAGTCATCTACGCTGTCCGGTTCAATGTGCATCAAAACACATTATTGTTCCTATTTCAAGATCTAGACAAATCTTAATAAGAACAATACAATTTTATCAATATAAAGCGTCCAATTTTATGAACCGATTGTGAACGACATAATTTTGATCATATCACAAATTGTGTCTTACTATACCCGATCCATCGAGTATACAATTTGTGACATCCTATATGATCATGAAACCTTAGACAATCACTTCAAATTATAACACGCAAATAAACGAACGTAAATTCATAATGTGATTTTACAGAACATTACTCGAAGAATGAGCATCAAACTAACAATCGGATCGTTCAGTCTTAGTATTCAAGAATTGGAACCATCCATAACAGTTCGAGTATTTTGTAGATAGATTCATCCAACTCTATGTAATTTCAAGATGCGAGCCATTTCAATTCTGGATGCGATTAAGCTATAACATAACAATTAAAAAAATAATAGTAAGAAACAAGGTATTGTTCAACTTATTTCTTTGAAAAATCTTAAATGGTTCTATTGAACATTGGATGCATCAATTCGTCTTTTCTATTGGGTGAGTCACCAAAGGCTTATTGAACGTCAAAGTAGACAAAGATGCAAATATGCCTACACAAACAATATGTAAAAGTAGATAGAAAAAAGTAATGATTGTCACTAAATAAAGTCGTACGTATATCTAAAAAAGCCAACTTTATTAAGATTTATACAATCTAACAGAGGGACCCGCCCTTAAAACAACATATCCAATCTTCGAAAAGTGCTTACCCACATTACCTTGCATATTGAATCCTTTACTCTAGTCAGGATGTTGTCTAGCTTTTTCGTTCCAAGCTTTCTCAAAATCAACAAGTTCATTTAAAAAGAACAAAATTACTTGAATGTGAACTGAAAGTTACAAAAAAAAAAGTCATGTAACAGTAATACACACAATCTAGATACAATACTTACACGAATTGATCTGAATCACCTCATTCAACCAAAGAGGCATATTTAAATTATATATCTTCTTCGTTCTTCGTCTTTCTACACAACAATCTAGTTCCTAGCTCTGAAATAAAGTCTCATAATAGTTCTATTTAAAAACATAAATATATATTTTAGTATGGAACTTAAAAAATTTCGTTAGGTCCATAAAGATCCAATTGTAATCTAAATTGCTAAAATCAGTTTTTTATCCTTCCCATTATAGGGCACATGTTCCAAATTTCACTATGATCAACTATTAAATAAAGATGTTAAGTTGCCCAAACGAACTCATGCCAAACAAAGATTTTAAAAATCATCAAAAAACTTTCTAACAAAAATTATCACAAATCACAAAAATAAGAACTACAAAATCTAGCAAAGTATAAACATCCAAACAATTACAAGAACTGATCGATTGCAAACTCTATCCATTACCAAAAAAAGAAAAGAAAAAGGATACCCTTAAATATCTGATGATCAAACCCTCAATAAAGAAAGAACAAAAATTATAAAGAAACGAAACTAAACCATCATTAAAGCTCAGTGTATTATGATACATGTCAAGTAATATAAATCATAACTAAAAAAAAAATTACAAAAACTTCTCACAAATTAAATGAATTGGATCTCCACTAAACATACACAACTTCCTTCGTGTATTATCACAAAGAAACAAAGTAATTATACCCAAAAATAGTGAAGAAAAAGAATAGTTAACTGCGAGACGACGAGAATTGCTTAAATAATTTAGTGCACATCTCCTTCAACAATACATGAACCCATTGAAAAAACAAACAATTAAATCTATTGTAAATACCAAACAACATTGAAATCAAAGAGAAATAGCGATCTCATTAAAATCAAATTCTTCAACATAAGTGACAAGAACAAAGAATAAAATAAAGTGCCAAAGACGAAAAATTATACATTTAAATATTAGAAAATTAAGCAAAAGAAGAACACACAATATGGAATGAGCCAAACCTACTTGTAGAAATTGGGTGAGCCACAAAGAATTCCATCTTCATAACACCTGCTAAAAATGAAAGTGTGTGCAACATTTCATTTTCTGCATTGAGACTAAAATGTAGGAAAAATTCTCGTGGCTTGTGCAATCATAGAAGACAATGAGAAATCAAGAGAGGGTTCTTGCCAAAAACACAAAAGTAATTACCTTCCAAAACTAGGGCAATATCCTGAAGTAAAAAAATTGTAAAGTCCATAAGTACAATTACAAGCTTGTGAACAAAATGGAAATGACTGAAGTCCAAAAATAAAAACCAATAACAATAGACACAAGATTTTTCAAACTTCTATTGGCCGATTAATCCCATCAAAGGTTTTAGAATTGTTGGTAACTTTAGAACACTATGCTAAATTAAGTTAAAAAATTTACACAAATATCATAATTCTTGAAATGGTTCTAAGCAAAATAAATGTAGGAACCAGAAGTCAAAACAAGATATAGAATAGAAAATCAAGAATCTAATTATAACAATGTATATTCCCCAACTAAAGGAAAAAAGTTAGAAATAAGCAGCCACGCAGCAAACATAAATAGAGGAACAAGCATCTAAATTAAAAGCCAACAAAAGAGAAGATTACAAAAGTAAACAATGAATCAATAAAAAAATTGAACTTCGAACTGATAATCAAAGAGTTATGTAGAAAACCATGATGTTGAAAATGTCCAGAAATAAATGCAGAAGAAGTATTGATCGTTCCAAAATGAACATTGGCACTTAGATTTACATGGACTTTATCTTATCCTACCTCATTAACTTGGAGATAGGTACCATTGAGTAGAAATCTTCCTCATATAGCTGTTTAGCAAGTATCTGACATGATTGGTTATACTGATTAGATTCATTAAGATAGGAATTCTTTTGTAAAATGATGAAGGAAGATTTGTACCCAAAACCATCAAGAATCAACTAAGAAAACGAATTAATTTAAAAAATCTTACCCAGTAGAGTGGCGCCGCTACTGGCTTCGATTCCACCAACTTAAGAATAGAATGGAACCTTATACACTAAAAAAAGAAAAGGTTAGTTGATACATATACAAGATTTCAACCTAAAATCATCAAGAATAAATAGATAAAACGAATTGTTTCCAAATAGAAAATTACTCTAAATGTAATCAAATATCAAACCGATATACTTCACCTCGCCAATCACCAATTTCTAGGTAAATTTTCCACTTTTTTGGGGAAGGTTTTAGAAAACCTGGAACACGGACAGAGAGAAAAATGTCGAACACAAAACCAATAAGGCTAAAGGAAATTGAATAACCATATACAAAAAGAGGAAAATGAAGGTTTGAGGATTCTAATTCTACATGTAAAAATCTCAATATTCCACAATTTTTTTGGGTTCTTCTGAAGAATTTCAAACAAGGGACAGAAATCCTGGAAAAAAAGAGTTGAAAAAGGCTGAAGAGAGAAGAGAAATGTTGCGTGTGTTAGATGAAAATTTGAAAAATGGAGATCACAAAGACCAAAGAAGAAGGTTGCATGGCTGAGAAGAGAAAAGCAACAATAGGAAAGTAAATAAAAAAGGCATCAGGGTAGTGCTAGATGTACATTAGCCCTTACATAAAAGTATCCATAATGCTTAGGTGGCGATATATTGGTGATATTTTCACTCAAAATCTCGCCAGCTTTAATAAAAATGAAAACCCTAAATTTGAAATGTAAAACCCACGTTTTCTTTCATTCTCCTCATTTTCCACCCCCAATCATCTTTCATTCCCTCCATTTCTCACTCCCCACTTGTCGAGCCCAAGCTCCTCTGACCCAACTTCGACCCAGACGCAACCCAAACCGACAGAAAGAACCAATTTCTTCTCCTTATCTGCTATGGAAGCCAATGAAATTGAAGAAAACAGCAAGAACGATATTTTTTTTCTTTGACATTTGATCTCAAATTTGATCTTATATAATAAATGAGAAGCATATATAAATATTTAATTTCATCTTCTTCCTATAATGCAGAGAAATGTACCCAGATTGAAATAGAGTCACAAACCATGTTCGACAACATGGTCAGCGAGAAGCGGGCAATTTGGAATGGCAATTTGAAAACTGATGTGGGACTAATTTGGTGTTAGAAATGTGAGAATTTGTGTTGTTGAAAATGTGGGAATTTTTGTGGTTTTAGTTTGTGAAAACACAGTGAGAAGTAGGCAGTTTATGTAAACTGAAATGTATTGTTTAAAATGATGGTTGGACTATTTAAAATGTGGGAATTTCTGTTGTTTATGGCAATTGATATTCACCTTGAGAAGTAGGCAACCTAAAAAGAATTTAGTTGTGTCATAATGGTTGAAGAGTTACATTCACTTCCACAGATTTGAAAAATGAAAATGTCCAGCTATATAATGTCATTTGATTGCTAAAATTCCAAAGGAACCGCTATTGCACTAAAGAAATCATTCTTCATCTCTTCGACTGCTTCATAGAAGTGGTTGAAACCCCCAAAAGAAACTACGTTCAATGGCTTCAATATCACCACGTAACCCAGGAAAGTGAAAGGGTCCCTGCTCGGATGACTCGAATGGGATCCCTTTAACCACTTGGTCTCTTACATCCTCCTCGGTGTATTCTTTGTTAGACTGTACCATCTCTCTAGGCCTGAGATGAGAATAATAGGATTTAGATTATATACGACAGTTTATGCAAGGCAACCATATATTTTGACATAAATCTAGATGATAGTCCAAACTAAATATAACAAACTCGTCAGGGATCTCTACAAAAATATAAAAGCAAATGCAGTCCACAAAAACATAAAGAGAAAATTAAGAGCAGTTTGTCCAGTCAAATCTCTTTTTCTTCTTCGTTTAACGCCATTTTTTATCCACAAGAAATCATCAATTATTTTTTGAAAAAGGACAGTAAAAAGCTCAGAAAATTACAAAATTTACAGCAACCCAAGGCAAAATCAATACGCTATCACATAAAAAAAACTAATTCCAAATAATCAAACACTAAACCATTTCACATTACTCAATAATTGAATCATCGATGAGATATACGCAAAGGATTCAGCCCACACACACACACAGATAGGGAGTGAAATCTACCCATTTCATGTCCAGTGAAAAGCAAGGTATAGAACTTCGAAAATTCCGACCCAAACAAAAAAATGAAGAAATCCACCAAAACAGAAATAAAAACCATTTTAAAACAACGCATAGTCAAGTTAAAGATGCCGTCGTACATTTGTCTCAGTCAATCTGCTCATCGTCGTCGACTCACCGTCGATCGTTAGAGGATTTCAATTAGACAGAATATTGTGCGACTATTTCTTGTGCAAAGAGGAGGTTTTGAGGAATCTAATGAGGTAGGGGCTTTTTAGGAATTCTATCAAAATTTTTAACCCATTCTTTAATGGCCACTGGAAATTGAAATTCAAATAATGCCAACTCAGAATTATGGACAAGCTGATGTACAAGGTAATGTACAACCAACATTACCCCGGAAAAAAATGGGAAGAAAGGGAAAGGTGGACTTTGTTGAAATGGACAACACGTTTTGACCAAGATGACACCATATTTGTACAGTAAAATGGGATTTGATTACAATTGCATCTACAATGACCCTTCATTGCCCTTTTTATTTAAGGTTAGATAATGGAAAACTTTAGCATCAATTATACGTAGCTCCCCACGTTGAGACTGAACTACTACAAATGTGTTGTGTTTTGCCTCTTTCTAATTTCATTTTGAGGCCAAATTCCCCGACAGTAATTAGACTAGTAATCTTATTTTTTCTTAAATTATGAGGGTAAGGAAGAAAATGAAGAAATCTTGAAGCAATCGAAGAAGACAATGTAGATGATGTTTCTAAGATTAAGTCATTGAAACATGCTTGAAGATGCATGAGCAATGCTACATTAGGAAGTTCTAGCTCTACTTTATTCGCCACTAAACGTTTTGTTTTTAATTGGCACTATATTCTAGAAGAAGCCTTCGACCTATATGATTTTTCAAATTTAATCTTTGGATGAACAACTAATTCATATATGCTTCTTTGCCTCTTTATTATGGACACTTGGTAAAGCAAACGTTACGAACAAATAGAGAGAATGCTATTTTAAAGAATATAACATTTTTGCTGTTGGAAGAATACAACGGATTTTATTAAATTGTATATCAACAAGAATTAAATAATTTGGAATATAGTTAATACATAAGTGTTTTAGAAGTTACCCTTGTAGCGCACTTTAAACAAAATTCTTTTGAACTTTGATCTCCTTGATTCCACCTTCAAGCCTCCTTATTTGATTTTCTTAGTTCTCCATCAAACTTTTTGGCCTTCTCTAGTGTTCTTCAAGAACTCAAAAATAACTGTAGAGATTTTTCTTTTTGTGTGTGGGCACAAGAAATTTATTTTTCATATATTAATTAAACCCATAAGAGAATGTACGTGTCTACATATATGGATTTGATTCACTAGACTTTCAATTCCAAAAGAACTCTATCTTTTCATTGGATAAAAGTCTTCAACAAAAAAGGAATCTTTTTTGTATTTATCCAAATCATAACCACCATATCTAAATGTCACATGCTTGGCACATGCATGACACATTTTGGTTTAATTAATTTATATATATTTCTACAGTTAATAATAAATTATAACTCTTATAATTTATTCCGGTTCTTAATTTTTTGAAGCCACTGAAGGGACCAAACAAACTCAATTAAATCAAGCTCCAATAAATTAATCTTGACCCGGTCAACTCTTGATCGGTCTAGATAATTTATTAGTCAAGTTCTATTCTACTAAAAGAATGTGATTGCACTCTTAATTTAATTGAAATTACTGAAGCTACAATAATTATATCCTCTAACAAATTGCTCTTACGTATTACCTCCATTAATCACGTTGAATATTAGGAATTGGGTGAAATGACCAAAATGACCCTTTTTCCAAATAAACATTAAATCCTCAATCCCATTTTCTATTTGACAGTTCCATTGATCACATCACAATATTAATTCAACAATCATGTCGAATTACTGAGCTCAAATTTAACTGTTCGTTAGAAAGTCTCTTGAGGTCATGATCATGCCTATTATTTAGGTTACGGATTCCATATTGCGAATATATGTTCTCTAGTTATTTCATTTTAATTCCCAAGGCATCGAGATTTCAATTAGCAATTTAATCTCACTCATTGATACCTCAGAAAACTTCAAGTTAGTAATAAAAGTTCATTATTTGCTCTGGATTAAGGTACAACGTACAATAGTTAAGTGAAATTAAATTCAAGTGGTCAATTCCATAAATTAATTTTACGTGGTCCAATTCAATACATTCCAAAATGTACAATCAATTTTATTGCTAAAGTCAAGATCAAATTTAAATAAAATTGAGACAATCTTATCAAAATAAAGTGTTCGTCTTTATTTACCGATTGTGGACAATAAACTTCAGATCGAATTATAAATCATATCTTTCTGTGTTTAACAACTTAAACACTTAATTTATAATATCAAGTTGATCCATGAACAAAATGCAAGCTCAAATTAATATAAACAATTTATTGAAAAAATAATTTATTATCTTTTATTTCAAAATGTCACGAGTACAAATAAATTTACTCGAAGGGCTAAAATTAAACTAACAATTCTCCCACTAGCCCTAGAGTAAATGAGACATGTTAAATAAATCCATATTTTCAGTATGTCCCTCAAAACTCCTAGTAGGTAAGCTCTTGGTAAAGGGATCGGCAAGATTTTTTACAGATGCTATCTTGCACACTGTCACATCTCCTCGTTGAACGATTTCTCTAATTAGGTGATATTTTCGTTCAATGTGTTTTCCACGTTGGTGGCTTCTTGGGTTTTTTTGCATTTGCCACCACTCCACTATTATCACAGTACAAAATAATGGGACGCAATGCTGAATGAACCACCTCAAGGTCTAGAAAAAACTTCCTTAGCCATACTGCTTCCTTGGCTACTTCACAAGCTGCGACATACTTTGCTTCCATAGTGGAGTCAGCGATACAAGATTGCTTAACACTTCTCCATATAACGGCACCGCCACCCAATGTGATCACTGATCCTGATGTGGACTTGCGAGAGTCCCTATCAGCTTGAAAATCAGAATTAGTATAACCCATAGGAACCAAATCTGGAGCTGAATAAACCAACATATAATCTCTAGTTCTACGAAGTTACATGAGTATATGCTTAACAGTAGTCCAGTGCTTAGGTCCTGGGTTCGACTGATATCTACTGACTATTCCAACAGCATGACAAATATCAGGTCGTGTACATAACATCGCATACATGAGACTTCCTACAACTGAGGCATAAAGAACCTGTTTCATGTATTCCACTTCACCAGGAGTTTTAGGACAATGCTCCCCTGACAAGGGAATTCCATGTCTAAAAGGCATTTGACCTTTTTTGGAGTTTTGCATAGAAAACCTGACCAGTATTTTGTCTATGTATGAAGCTTGGAAAAGAGCAATCTTCCTGTTCTTCCTATCCCAAAGGATTTGGATACCTAGAACATATTTGGCATCTCCCAAGTCCTTCATAACAAACTGTTGTGCCAACCAGTTTTTGACTAATGTCAATGCTCCAATATCATTCCCAATGAGCAAAATGTCATCAACATACAATATGAGAAAAATGACCTTGTTGTCTTTAATACGCTTATAGACACAGGGCTCATCAAGATTTTGATCAAAACCATAAGTCTTAATTGTTTGATCAAACCTGATGTTCGAAGACCTAGACGTCTGCTTTAATCCATAAATAGACTTCTTCAGCTTGCACACTTTATGCTCATGACCTTTTTGGATAAAACCTTCAGTCTGCATCATATATATGCTTTCATCAAGATTTCCATTAAGGAATGCAGTCTTGACATCCATTTGCCATACCTCATAATCAAAATGAAATACAATGGATAAGAGGATTCTTATAGACTTAAGCATGGCCACAGGCGAAAGGGTTTCTTCATAATCAATACCTTCTCATTGAGTGAAACCCTTAACAACTAGTCTAGCTTTAAAGGTCTCCACCTTTCCATCTACTTCTCTTTTCTTCTTGTAGACCCATTTACATCCCATGGGTTTTATTCCATTTGGTGCATCTACAAGATCCCAGACTGAGTTGGTGTACATGGATTTCATTTTTGAATCCATAGCACTCATCCATTGGTCAGCGTCTGTATCCTTCATAGCTTTTTTGAATGAGATAGGATCCTCTTCTTGCTCAGTAGAGACTACCTCGAAAGACTCTCCATAGAGTAAGTATCGGGATGGTAACCGAGTGATTCTTCCACTACGTCGAAGCGGTCGAGGTTCTTGGTTGATTGTGACTTGTAACTGTCCTATGACTTCTTCTCCTGTATCACTTCCTATCTCGACACTTCAGGGGGTATAGGAGGTGGGATATCCATTTGTCTCCCACTATGCCTAGAGATTATTGGTGAAGTAGGTATGAATTCCTCTTGAGTAGATTCATTGCGGATCTCTGGACTAGATGAGCTTGGAATGTTTCCTCTCATTTCATCCAAAAGAACCTTGCTCTTGGATTTGCATTCTTTTATGTACTTGGCCTTTAAGAAGGTTGCATTTGTACTCACAAATACCTTCTTGTCTTAAGGACTATAGAAGTAATATCCTCTCGTTCCTTTAGGATACCCTACAAATACACATATTTTCGATCTTAATTCTATCTTATCCATCTTTCCCTTTAGCACGTGTGCTGGACATCCCCATATCCCAATATGTCTTAGATTAGGCTTACACCCATTCCACAACTCCAAGGGTGTTTTAGGAACAGACTTAGATGGAATCATATTCAATAAGTATATTGCACTTTGTAGAGCATATCCCCAAAAAAGATGTTGTGAGAGTTGAGAAGCCTAGCATAGATCTGACCATGTTCAACAATTTCCTATTTATCCTTTCTGAGACCCCATTTTGCTGGGGTGTACCTGGTGCACTAAGTTTGGATAGAATCTTATTCTCTGATAAGTATGTTCTGAAGTCATGGGATAGATACTTTCCACCTCAATCTGATCGAAGTTTTTTAATGGTTTTACTTAATTGCTTTTCTACCTCAGTCGTGAATTCCTTGAACTTTTAAGGGCTTCAGACTTGTGAGCCATTAAGTACACATAACCGTATCTTGAGTAATCATCAGTGTGATGAAGTACTCATACCCACCTCTAGCTTGGACACTAATTGGTCCATATACATCAGAGAACTTCTTTGGCCCTATGCCCTTTTGATGTAAAAGGATCTCTAGGACATTTTACCTTCCAAACAAGATTCGAATATCGGAAGAGATTCTACATTTAATTCACTTAAAGGACCATCTTTTA